TATTCAACCATCTCCAACTGTCTCACATCTTTGTATCATTGCTCCAGATTTAAATTCATGAGAGAGGTTCTAAACTGGCTACATATGGACTTCTCCAATAGCAGATCCAGACTCAAAGGGTTGGGTGCTTATAGCTTATTTGGAAGGAGATGCCAGGAACTAAACATAAGAGAGAAAATAAGGATATGGAGGGAGAAAAAGTAGAAAACAGCTTCTAATAAACCACATAGAACAACTTCTGAATCATCCTTTTGGAGGATGGGAAGCTGAACAATTTATTCCCAGGCTGCCAGGCCCCATTTGAGATTTTTCCCAAGTGCATTAATATCCCATACTTCTGGATTGCTCTGGTTTGCAAACAAATGAGTTTCCACGGTAGGAAAACCACAAGGGTCATGGGGGCGTTGAGCAGGAACATCTGTAGAATCCGCTTCGAGAGCTTAGCATGTCTCTTTTCAAGAATCCCACTAGGGCTTCCCTGGTGGCGCAGTGGTTGAGTCTGCCTGCCGATGCAGGGGACACGGGTTCGTGCCCCGGTCTGGGAAGATCCCACATGCCGTGGAGCGGCTGGGCCCGTGAGCCATGGCCGCTGAGCCTGCGCGTCGGGAGCCTGTGCTGCGCAACGGGAGAAGCCACAGCAGTAAGAGTCCCGCGTACTGCAAAAAAAAAAAAAAAAATCCCACTAATGAACCTTTTTAGGTTAATTAACCAGGGTTAATTAACCAGGGCTAGTTCTCCAGAATAAAATTAAAATGCTGTTACCAAAATAAGGGAGAATAGATTCTGAGCGGACAAGATTAACAGATACACACTACAGGGGAGGTGATCAATGGATAAGAGAGGTTCAGAAGAAAAGTGCTTAGGGAGGTCCGTAGGGTGAAAGATTTTTATCCAGTAGGGGGAAATCATGGAAAAGTTCATGAAGAAGTTGGTTTTTGTTGACCAAATGCACCCTCCTGATCCAAGATAACAAAGTCTGCCTTTCTGGTCTCTCCTTTTCAAGCATCCAATACAAGTTATACTAGATTACCACGACCACTGCATGGTTCAAAAATAATTTATGTGAACTTAACAAATCATTAGTGCCGTGTGTTTGCTTAGATCTCCTTGATGCTATTTTCGGGTGAATAATTGCTAATTTAATTCTTGCTGGGAGAATAACATTACACTCAAATTCCTGTGTGAAAAAAAAAAGGTGCTAATGACTAGACAGCCTTAGGTTTCCATGGCAACATATTGCTCTCAAAGATCAAGTGGAATATTAAAATAGTGGCTTATTAGGTGGCACAGGTTTGCTTTTAATGTATTACATATGTAACATATAACAACAGTAATGTGGTCCATGAATTAGGGTCTCTGATATACCCTCTAGAGCAATGAGAGAGTTTTTTTTAAGGACTTTCACTTTGTAAAGAATTACTTCCAAAGCTGTAGCTATGTCATTTTTTATCTATTCATATTCTTTTACCTCTGTGCAGATGAATATACATATATACAATGGATATCTGCCCTGCTCGTCAAAAACCAGCAAAAGCCTGAGAAGAAGGGAGCAATGCTGTGTGAGTCTGCGAAAGTGTCATTGAAATACTCTCTGGGCTTAACATTTGAAAGTCTCTGGGATCTGACATCTTGTTATTCTATTCTTTACATCCAAATAGGGTTATTCAAGCCTCTTTAAGAATGTTCTTTGCTTTTCATTTTCTAAACCTTTGATTAAGTTGTACCCTCTTCCATTCCTACATTGCTTGGTAAGAGTTTACCATCTTCAAGGGCCAGTGGAAATGTTCCATTCTCTGTCCTCCCAGGTCTTCTTCAAAGACCTGATGAGAAATAACTTACCACCTTGCTGCACTGTACAGACCTTGATTTGTACTTCTCTGACGGCCTTATTAGGTTGATCTATTGGTCCCAATGTTAATCAATGTTAGTGATGCTTCTGAAACATTTGATCTCATAGTTTAAGTCTTTCCTCCCACCTATAATATAACATTAAAATGAATAGCGTTAAAGTCAGAATGACCTGCTGTGAATCCTATGTTCTCCTGCATTCATCATCTATGCCTCCCTGAGAAAGACATATAACCTTCCTAAGCCTCCATTTTCTCACCTATAAAGTGGGGTTAATAATATTTCCTATTTCATAAGGTTGCAAAGATAAAATGAAATACTTATTGTTGATGATGATGACAGTGACAATGGAGAGGGTACTATAATTAGATGGCTTTAGATGTGTGTAAGTATCTATACAAACTTTAGATTGTATAAATGAGGAATACAGTAGGGGCCCATGTGGCTTGAAAGAGCAGTAAATAGTACATTAATGCCTGTAAGAATGAATGCATCTTCTGAAACCCATTTCCATATTATGGCCTCTAGGGAAAACGATAAACACAGTGGGTGCTTAAAATCCTGTAGTAATGCCCCAATCTATCAAAATTAAATTATTTCCTAATTTAGAATGTAAGCATGACCTGACTCCTACTACCATCTCTAGAACTTCTTTTCTATCATTTTCTTTTATCATTTTTTTCTGTCATTTTCCTAGATTTTTCAGTTCTCTTATACTTCCATATTTTTTCCACATATAGTTTCTCTTTCCTGGAAAGCTTTTTTTCTCTTCCTTTTTTTTTTTTGGTCTTCTTCACCATTCTCTCTTCTAATATTCCCTCAAGATTTAGCTCAGAGATAGACTACGATTCACCTCCTCTGGCCAAGTTTCTCTGATCCACCTTCTTCTAAGGCTGGGCAAAAAGTCTCTTTTTGTTTTTGTAGCTGCCTATGTATATCTGTCAGTACACTTTTTTCTTTCTGGATTTTAATTAATCTGTTACTTAACCTTTCACGCAAATAAATTGTAATTACTTCTTTGTCTCTATAGCCTCAACATTTAGTACTGTACCTGGCACTTAAAATGAACTCAGTAAAAAACATGTACATAGATGAATGTAGTAGTCATTAGTATTATTTGACAAATGTGACAAATATGTCTATATTGTTCAGTAAATTTCCACTCCCACCTCTCTCACCCTCATGGAGGAAATGTATTTTCTTGCCTCAGTAACAGTAGGTTTGGCAATACAACTTACATTGGATGTTAGTTGGCACGGCACAAGCAAAGACTAGAAATGTGTTTGTGTGATCTGGCTCTTATCTTGCATTCCTGCCTTTTATGAGAAAAACGTGGCTTAGGTAATCATTAGCTCCAAGGAGGAAGAGAAGGATATAGAGTGGGTCTATGCTTAATCAATAACTTGAAGCTGACCCCCATCAAAGGCAGCCTAGATCAGCCATCTTCCATCTGACCTACAGACACATGAAGATAACTACATTCTTCTTGTTGTATGTCACTGAGTTTGGGGTTGGTTGATTAGACAGCATTTTTGTGGACATAGTAAACTGAGAAGAAAATTGATAGCAAACTGTGTAGCACTGCCGTGACAAAAACCTAAGCTATGTGAAATTGGCTTTGGAACTGATTCGCAGGAAGGAGGCTGGAAAAATGTCAATTTATGTTATATAGGGGGGACCATTAGGTAAAACTGTTGCTCGTGGTAAGTGGAAGATAGGAAGATGTACCTAATTTATTTTAGCACCAGGCAAATACATTTCAGAAAACAATGTTGATGCTGTAAATTGACTCTTGCTAGCTGCATTTTATCAGATATTATAAAAAGAGATGATTTCTGAAAAGTATAAGCTAGATTACAAACATAATTTAAAGGGAAAATAGAAGTACCAGGAATTGCGTGGTTAGAAATTAAAATGGTTTCTTACCAAATATGGCCTTAGAACAAAGAATCCTGCCACTGTGTTATGCTCTACAAAAAGCAAATCAATGGTGTGGCTGTAACATGTTTTATTAAGTCCTCTGAAGGGATTGATGTAATGTTCAGTAGATCTTTTTAGGTAGAAAAAGGAGCTTCTAGAAAGCTTGAGATCATGGTCCAGAGTCCCTTGATATTATAAGAATGAATGAGAGAGAGAGAGAGACAGAGAGAGAGACAGAGTGAGGTCGGGTGAGGGAGAGAGGGAATAAGAAGGATAAGAAGGAGGAGGGGGCTTCCCTGGTGGCGCAATGGTTGAGAGTCCGCCTGCCGATGCGGGGGACGTGGGCTCGTGCCCCGGTCCGGAAAGATCCCACATGAAGATTCTGTTCTGAATCTGCTTCTTTTTGGAACAACTCCAATGTTTCACTTATACAAATAGATAAAACAATAAAGTTATTTCCATTTCAGAAAGAAAAATCTCCTATACGTATTTGGTCCTTTGTGAATTGGGATTTCAGTGTTATAGAAGCCTGGAGATTAGGTACAGCTAGCAAAGCTACTTGAAATGAAACAAATGCTGAATGAGGTTCTCAAAAACCCCAGTTTATTAAATCAGTGTTCATGTCTACCTGTGTCCAGGTGTGATTTCTGATTGACCTTGGTCTCTGTTACAACAGTCTGTTTCATGTGTACAGCTTCTTCAGTTTACAAGGTCCTTTTCCTTATCTCTTCTTTCAACACAAACACCCTCTGTATAAGGAAGAAGGCCAGGAATTGCTTTTTTTTCCATATTTAGGTCAAGGAAGTGAGATTCAGAGAGGTTAAGTGACTTGTCAAGTCACACACTAAGTCGAATGATGGAGTGCTGAGGAGCGTTGAGAGAGGGTCAGTAAAGGCTCATAACTACTGTCTTTGTAATTTGTTTTATTTTCTCAGACTTCCCCCCAGTAGAATTATATACTCCCTCCTCTAATAAATATTGCACATACCTGTCAACCTAATATAGCGTTTGTTTACATGTGTCTTCTTGAGGGAAGACAGCATTTCAGTTCCATAGTGCTTATCTCAATATCTGGCATGCAGCAAGTTCTCAACAAATGTTTATTGAATTAATATGTGTCTCATATCCTGGAGGCCTTCAATGCAAAAGCAATTATGAAAAAGAAATGCAGGCTATACCTCAGAGATATTATGAGTTTGATTCCAAACCACCGTAATAAAGCAAATACCACAGTAAAGCAAGCCACACAATTTTTTGTTTTCCCAATGCATATACACCACACATAGTCTATTAAGTATGAAATAGCATTATGGCTAAAAATATATATACTTAATTGAAAATACTTCATTGCTAAAAAGTGCTGTCATCTGAGCCTTTAGCAGGTTGTAATCCTTGTGCTGGTGGAGGGTTTTGCCTCTGTTGGTGGCTTCTGGTTGCTCAGGATGGGGGTTGCTGAAGCTGGGATGGCTGTGGCAGTTTTTAAAAATAAGACAACAATGAAATTTGCTGCATCTCTTCACGAACTTGACTCTGTTCACGAATGATTTCTCTGTAGCATACAGTGCTCTTTGATAGGATTTTACCTATGGTAGATCTTCTTTCAAAATTAAAGTCGATCCTCTCAAACCTTGCTACTGCTTTATTAACTAAGTTCATGTAATATTCTAAATCCTTTGTTGTCATTTCAACACTCTTCACAGCATTTTCACCAGGAATAGATTTCATCTCAAGAAACCACTTTCTTTGCCTATTCATAAGAAATAACTCCTCATCCGCTCAAGTTTTATCCTGAGATTGCAGCAATTCAGTTACATCTTCGAGCTCCACTTCTCATTCTAGTTCTCTTGCTGTTTCTACCACATCTACAGCTCCTTCCTCCCCTGAAGTCTTAAACCCCTCAAAATCATCTATGAGGGTTGGAATCAACTTCTTCTAAACTCCTGTCAATATTAGTGTTTTGACTCCCTCTTCCCAAGAATCACAAATGTTCTTAATGGCATCTAAGATGGTGAATCCTTTCCAGAAGGTTTCAATTTACTCTGTCCAAATCCACCAGAGGAATCTTTGTAGCCATTGCCTTATGAAATGTATTTCTTCAATAATAAGACTTGAAAGTCAAAATAACTCTTTGATCTATGGGCTGTAGAATAGACTTTTCATTCTGAAAAGCATTGGATTGAACTTAGTCACCAGCTGCTTTAGCCCCTAACAAGAGGAAAAGCCTCTTTGAACATATGAAGCCATACGTTGACTTTTCCTCTCTAGCTATGAAAGTTCTAGATGACATCTTCATCCATTGTGAGGCTGCTTCATCTACACTGAAAATCTGTTGCTTAGCATAGCCATGTTCATTAATTACCTTCACTAGATCTTCTGGATAACTTGCTGCAGCTTCTACATCAGCACTTTCTGCTTCACCTTGCAGTTTTATGTTATGGAGATGGCTTCTTTCCTTAAAATTCATGAACCAACTTCTGCTGTAAGTGATAGAGATGGGACATAATCCAGGACTGTTTGGCTTCAGAGCAGGGGTTCTCTAAATAGTATTGATCATGGAGCTGATGATGGCGATGGCAGGGAAAATCATGTTACCTCTCTGGTAATATGGCTCTTCATGCAGACAGGGTCTCAGAGAAAATGAGCAGGTTGTTTTCAGTTTCCTTCAAGTTACACAGTCAGAAAGTCAAGAGAAAGAAAAAGTCAAGAAAAAGTCAAGGAAAAGAAAGTCAAGTTACACAGTCAGAAGTCATAAAACCAGTGGAGGTAGAGATCATGATAGAACTCAAATCTCTCCTTGCATCCTTAGACCTTCTTCTACAGCTTTCCTCTCAGAAGGATATGTCTGTGTCACACAGCCACTTGGATTGCTGGTCTGTTCATTCAGAAAAAAAAAAAAGGGGGGGGAAAGACATAAGCTGGCTAAGACTTAGGAGTCATGAACTAGGGGCTATGATTTCTAATCATTCACTGTTTGGTCTTAGGTCCCCCTCCCCTCCTTTCCTGGTGTGCTTTGGGGAATAGACTGAACAATTCCCACAGTGCCTTTCAGAACTAATATTATATTCTAAGTTTAGCTGAGTAAATATAGTTTGCTGAGAAAGAGTCTACAGCTTTGGATGGCAAAGAGCTTTATGACAGGAGATTTGAGGGAATTAAGAAATCAGCTGAGCATCATGGAGTGGGCCATGAATAGAAGAATACTGGCAGATCCTTTGAGACACTGTAAGTAGACCAGAAGCAGATTAAAGTTCTTCTAAAAGGATGTCAGCAAAAAAAGCAGTGGATGCGCCTAGAGCCTCTAAGGGACCTCCCTAAAGGTCTATAGGTAAGAGAAACAGTGCCAGATCCTAGAAGATGGAGACCTACTCTAGAGCAATTACTGTGCAAGAAAAATAGTGAAAGAGGGCCACATCAATACAATGAAGCAATGCTAGAGAACACTAAAATCAGGTGGAGACCTTCGTTCACCTGGAGTTATCAGTTATGAGGAACACATGAGACTTAGGGGAAACCCTCATGGTCTTTGCTGAACCTCCATCCCAGTAATGGTGATAGAACTTCAGGTTTGGAGGTGCTGTATTTTTCAGTTTATAACAGACTGGAACCACCACTTTACAACTTTGCCATCACTTGTTTGACGTGGGGGGTGACAGAACCTGAGAATGAATCTAATACAGAGGAAAGTTGGAGCAAAAAATCAAGCAAGACTTACAGCATTATTTGAGGTCCTGGATCTAGCCATTCCTGAAGGCATACTTCATCTTACAAGGGCTCCTCAATACCCCTAACTTCTTTTATGACTTAAGCCTTTGGGGTTAGTTGTCCTTCATTTGCAATCAGAAGAGTCCTAGTGCCTAGTATAAACTCATGATTTTATGTAAGTAGATATCCATACTTGTGTATATTGAAGAAGCCCCCAAAATTGTACTGCATAGTAATGAGCACTGTATTGCCAAGATCTGGATTTCTAAATACCATCATTCAACAAAGAGCCAGAGGTCCTTGCAGAAATGGCTTATTCCAGGTCTGAGACAGGAAAAGTACAAGGCAAGCCTGTGATATCTTGCGTCAGAAAGCAAGAAAGAACTCAAAGATCAGAGGACCGTGTCCAAAGAACACAGGGACAGAGGGAAGAGGCTCCCACTGGCCAATTTTTGGAAGTTTAAGCATCAAAAAGAATAATGGCTATAACTGATTGTAGTCATTAAGTTTTTAAAAAACCCATAAATCTATAATGACGACAAAGAGAGAGAGAGAGGAAAACAAAAGGGAAAGAACTCTTCTATAGGGAAGGATATCAGTTTGAATATGTAGAAGGAATTGCAGAATTAGGAAAAAACAGTCATTTTCATTGATTTAGACGCTGAATCAGAATTTACCAACAGAAGCCAAAACCATTACATGGAAAGTTGGAGGGGAACCAGATATTCCAAGATGCCAAAAGACTCCTGCTTTCAGAGTCTTCCCAAGAGCAGAAGGAAATGTTTACCATCTTAAACGTTGACCACCATCTTAACCAAACGGTCACACTTTGCCTCACTAACAGCAAGAAAACCCAACATTATTTTTCTCCTTTTGTGATATAAATATCCTTGTCAAAAATGTTTATCTTGAATCTCATCAAGCCTTTTATAACTAATGTTCAATTTACAGAAAATGTAGGAGGCAGGAAAAACAATGTTTAGTGATGCCAGACGGAAACACTTTGATAAACACAGATGTGTAATATTCTCCAAGATCACTGGCATGGACTCTTCCATAAGGCAATATTAATTGGGAAAAAAAAAGAGAAAAAAAGAAGGTTGGTAGGTTTGTTTTAGATCAAAGAGATGGAAGAAATGTAATAACCAGTAGAGACACATACAATCTGATAGAGTATTGATGAAAATAAATTAAAAAGCTATAGAAAGATTCTGAGGACAATTGAGGAATTATGAATAAGAGCTGTCTATTAGATGGCAATTATGAAATAATAGTTTATTTGTGTGGTAGCATATGGCTTAATAGAAGAGTGCCTTTTATTCTTATCAGAGGCAAGCTGAAGTGCTCTGAGAGGAAAGGTCATGATATCTGCTGCATACTTACATACGGATCAGGAAAATATACATATACGTGAAAACAGAGAGAGAGAAGAACCATGATGAAATCTTAACAATTGTTGACAGTTGTTAGAAGATATACAAGTGTTCATTGTGCCAGTCCTGGTGTTGGCAAGCTGTCTCAGTAAAAGGTAAATACTACCTTGTAGATAGTATTTAAAGGTAAATACTACCCTTTACATGAAAGAGTGAATACAGTAAATAGTAGACATTTTTCTGCTTTGGGGGTCCATAGATCTCAGCTCCTCAGAGCTGCCCTTGTAGTGCCGAAGCAGCTGTAGACAACACGAAGAGAAGTGGGCATTTGGATTTAGCCCTCAGACGTAGTTTGCCAATCCTTGTGTTACTCTAACTTTGTATGTGGTTGTAAATTCTCATCATATAAAGTTAGGAGAAAAAAGGAAGTCCTGATGTCCATACCATAATACTCATCAAGTTTGAAGTTTGCAATACACACAATAGAATAGTGATGGACGGTGGTTGGGAGGAAGGTACCTTGTGGTCTCTGCTAAGGGCCTTGAGCTTTGGGTGTAGGTAAAGGAGAGCCAGTGAGAACATTCTCTACTCTCCTTCCAACTGCTTGTTTTCAGAGCTTGAGCTCCAAATCACGGTGTGTTTTCACATTTGATCCTTTCTGATTTTCCTTGGCTTTTTTATCTGTTATCGTTATTTCCTACTTGCCTCCAGATGCTTCTTATATTATGGAATAAGACTCAGAAGTACCCAGACTTTCTCAAGTCTCTGCCTTTCTTCATTTCCCCACTTAGTGACTGTGTAAAACGAAAGGAAAAGCTTTGACAATCTGTGAACTCGTTGTAGGAGATTACTTCACTCCTAAAGACCTTATCTCAATGTTTCCTCCTTCAGCAAGACTTAACTACTTTGGCAGCTGGGGACTTTGGGACTTCCTCCTGCCTGCTGTGAACCACAAATAGACATGGAGCTATTAAGAGAGTTCATTGGTTTGGAAGAGAGCACTCCAAGGTCTCAGATAAATGGACAGGAAGTGCTGAAATTCTCTCCCTTCAGGATCAATCAGCTCTTAGGTAGCATCTTATCCAAGTAAGCATGGCAAAGAGAGTTTGAGGTTCTTCTGTTTAGTAAAGATGCTGTTTTCAAAGATCTCCATGCACCTCTGCTTGGGCAATGACTTCACGCGTGCTCTCTCTGGAGTAAGACAGTCTTATCAGACAGATAGCCTCTTGGAAAGAGTCAGTTGGTCACATCTGGCAATTAGGCTGAAGATAAGCTATTCATCTCTTTTGCATTTGCAGATAAAGTCATGCTTCTCTTTCAAAGGGTTAACTCTTCAGGTAGATGACCTTTCTGACAACACGGCTTTGGCGTTTGCACTGGACTGGAAATTGAGAGACTAGAGATCTATCCATGGCTAAACAGCTTACCATTCACTGACCTTGGTAAGTCACTCCTCTTTCCTGAGCTGAGATTATTTCAGTAGGATCAGGCGGGTAGACCTGATGACTTCCAGTTCACACAGTATCTACTGTGACAGGTACTTCATACTTTTTTTTTATAAAAAAAAAGAATCCACGTATAAGTGGATCATGCAGTGCAAACCTGTGTTGTCCAGGGTCAACTATATACGTGTATATATTCAAAAGCATTGAGAGGAGGGATTCAAACAGATATCTGTACACCAATGTTCATAGCACCATTATTCACAAAGGCAAAGGTGGAAAAACGCAAGTGATGATCAACGAATTAATGGGTAAACAAATTGTGTTACATGCAGACTATGGAATATTATTCATTCATAAACTGGAATGGAAATTTTATATAGGCTGCAACACAGATGAACCTTGAGAACATATGCTAGGTGAAATAAGCCAGACACAAAAGGCCAAATACTATAGGACTCTGCTTATATGAGGTGCCTAGAATAGGCAAACCCAGAGAGACAGAAAAGTAGAATAGAGGTTACCAGGGGCTGGAAGGAGTGAAGAATGCGGAGTTATTATTTAATGAGAACAGAGTTTCAGTTTGGGATGATGAAAACCTTTGGGTGTAGGTAGTGGCGATGATTTTACAATATTGTGAATGTACTTAATGCTACTAAACCATACACTTACAAATGGTTAAAGTGATAAATATTATGCTGTATATATTTTACCACAATAAAAAAAAGGAGGAGAAAATACCTTAGGAGAAAGAATGCTATTATTAGCCTACCGTCGGATGCTACGCCCACTCCTTGGCTGGGGATACGTGTTGCAGGGTGGGGATCAGGGCAGGGGAGCAAAGTACAACCTGACTGTGGATCCCGTTTGGACTGCCACATTGGGGAAGGATTATTGCCCCGAAGAAAACTCAGGAGGGGATATAGGAAGCTGAAGCAAATGATGTTCACTGCAGAGGTATCTGAAGGGACATGAATTCTCTATATCCACAAACTATTAATCTCTCAAATTCTCATCTGTATAACAAAAGAATGATTTGTCTGGCTCCAGCAAACGTAATTTGTAACGGCTGCTCTAAAGATTTCTTTCATTCCTAGCAATTTAACACACATCTCAAGTAATTCACTTAAGCATCAAAGACTTCTTACAGAAGGGATCAAAATGGTTGTCCCAAACAGGAGTGATTTATGAATAATCATACTTGAATTTGTTTATTTGAAGCAGATAATATCCAGTACACGTCAGACCTCACAACACCTCTCATGTCTTATACTTCACCCAACTCACTCATTAGTGGTAACTGTCTGGTCCATGTAGATATTTAAATTGAAACCCTGGGCTTCCAGTGAGTTGGCAAGTATGTGTGAGAAAGACTATATTGGCTTAATCAGCTTTGATTCCAAAAGAAGGGTAATGTGACCACTCTAGCTCCAGATAACCTGATGAATTGAACACACCTGCAGGCAAGTCTGCATCTTCAAATCATTGGAGGAGAGAGTGAGGCAGGCAGAAAGATGTCCCAAGGACCATTCCCTGCACTGCCTCTCTTTCTGTAACACTCTTCCAGATCTTCTTTTAGCTTTTATATATTATATATTTATTTGTTTACTGTCTGTTTCCTCATTTACCATGTGCCTGGAATGAGGAAAAGAGCTTTGTTTAGTTCACCGCCTTACTTAAAGCACCTAATACAGTGTGGTCACATTTTACTAGCAGAAAGTAGGCAGACTATACCTATTAGGTGAAAGAATAAATGCAAATTCATATTCTTAAAGGTCAACTTTCTTAAGTTCCTCCAGCCCTCCCTCTCTCACAAAAATAAAAAATATGCCTGACTCAGAGGTTGTCGTATAGCAATACCTACCTACTACCTTCTATCCTAGGAAATATGCAGAGGCTATAATAAAAGATACTATGTTTGTTCATTTGCTTGTCTTCTCACTGGATTCTCAACTCCTCAAAAATAGGGACTGTGCAAACCATTCATTGAACAGTTATGGAATGAATGAAAGAAAGCATGATTTGGGAAGTGAAATTTAACCAAGAGTAAACACTAGCAAGTGAACTTAAGGTAGAATGTAAGGCTTTTCTTCTCTTACTATCAGTCGAATTCAAGACAGTATATTTGTTCTGATTTGTTGCCCTAGTTATTTAAGCTTCTTGCTTCTAGCAGAGAATATCTAGATTAAAAGATAAAGGTTGAGATAAAGGTGGATTGTAGAAGGCTAAAAATATCTGTTATTGTCTTTTGAACAGTGTCAGTATAGTAGGATCTAAATTAATCCTGGATTACTAATATTTCATGGTACATCATATGAGAGACAAATCAAAGGCCATAGTAAAATTTTTTATCTTTATAAACTAGCTCCCAAGGGTCAAGTAAGTTCAAGAATGTATGAATACAAAAATCTGAACACATTTTAGAAAACTATACATTGAGAAAGTTAATTTTTGTTAATTGTCACAATAATAAATTTAGAATTTAGAAAATATGAATTTAGAAAACATGGCTAATAAATATATGTATTTTTCTATATGTACATATCACCATATACTTATATGTGTATATATGTGTACATTAATATTTTGTGTATTTAATTTTACACATGGTATTTTCTGCCATTTAATTATTCTTTAAAATTTCAATAGCTGTTTATTATTTCAATAGTTGGATCATTTACTTATTCAATCCCTTATTGTAGAGCACTTATGTACTGATGGCAAAAAATGGCAACACTTCTCTGTAACCCTGCAATGCTACTTTGAAAGTCCTTCAATAAAAAGGTGAAATCTGGGCTTCCCTGGTGGCGCAGTGGTTGAGAGTCTGCCTGCCGATGCCGGGGACACGGGTTCGTGCCCCTGTCCGGGAAGATCCCACATGCCGCGGAGCGGCTGGGCCCGTGAGCCATGGCCGCTGAGCCTGCACGTCCGGAGCCTGTGCCCCGCACAGGAGAGGCCACAACAGTGAGAGGCCCGCGTACCGCAAAAAAAAAAAAAAAAAAGGTGAAATCTGTTTCCCCATAGGTCTCAATGTCTTGCTTTGACCAACAGAATGTAGTGGAAGTGAGTGTGTTCTCTCTGAGCCTGCATATTCAGAGGGTTTGCCACCTTCCACTCCTTTCCTTGGAACCCTGACAAGCCTGGGATAAGCTTCTGATGACAGTTACATGGAAATCATGAGAAACATGGGCCCAGTTCCCGGATTCCCCCAGCTGACAGCCAGCTAATATTCAGAGGCAGAGATGCCCAACTAATGCCAGTTGACCACAGATGAATGAGCCAGCCCAGCCAAATAGAGGAGTTAACAACCAGCAGACCCATGAACAATGTTTTGTAATCATCATTTATTTATATGACTTCCATTTTGTTTCATTCTAATTTTTCTCATGGGAGTAGGACTATTTTTTCTTATTGTGGTAAAATATACATGATGTAAAATTTTACCTTTTTAACTGTAAAATTCAGTGGCATTAAGTATATTCACAATGTTATGCAATGTTCACAGTATTTCCAGAAATTTTCATCTCAAACAGAAACTCTATACCTATTAAGCAATAACTCCTGATTCTCTCTACCCCTAGCCTTGGTAATCTCTTTTCCTCTTCCTGTTTCTATGAAGTTGCCTCCTTTAGATACTTTATATAAGTGTAATCATGCAATATTTGGCCTTTTGCTTCCAGCTTATTTCACTTAGCATAATGTTTCCAAGATTCACCCATGTAACAAGTATTGAAACTTCATTCCTTTTTTTAGCTGAATAATAAGTATTCATATACATACATTTTGTTTATCTATTCATTTGTTGTTTTTTTTTTTTTGCGGTACACGGGCCTCTCACTGTTGTGGTCTCTCCCGCTGCGGAGCACAGGCTCCGGACGCGCAGGCTCAGCGGCCATGGCTCACGGGCCCAGCCGCTCCGCAGCATGTGGGACCTTCCCGGACTGGGGCACGAACCCACGTCCCCTGCATCGGCAGGCGGACTCTCAACCACTGCGCCACCAGGGAAGCTCTATCTATTCATTTGTTGATGGACACTTAGGTTGTTTCCACCTTTTGGCTATTGTGAATAATGCTGCTATGAACACTGGTGTATAAGTACCTGGCGGAGTGCCTGTGTTCAACTCTTTTGGGTATATACCTAAAAGTAGAATTGCTGAGTCAAATGGTAATTCTATGTTTAACATTTTGAGGAACTACCAAACTGCTTTCCATAGTGGTTACACCATTTGACATTTTCACCAGAAATTCACAAAAGATCTTATTTCTCTACATCTTTGTCATATTTCTTATTTTCCGTTTTTTTTAAAAATAATAACAATCCTGTGAGTGTGAAGTGGTATCTCGCAGTTTTGATTTGCATTTTCTTAATGACTAATGCATCTTTTTATGTATTTATTGACCATTTGTATATCTTTGGAGAAACGTCTGTTCAAGTCCTTTGCCCACTTTTAAGTTTGGTTATCTTTTTGCTATTGAGTTGTAGGAATTTTTTATGTATTCTGGATATTAATCTCTTTTTAGATAATACTTACAAATATTTTTTCCCATTTTGTAGCTTGTCTTCTTTGTCATGATAGTGTCTTTTGATGCTCAAATTTTTTTTGAATTTGGATGAATCCAATATATTGAATTTTTATTGTGTGTAGTTTTGTGTCATAGTTAAGAGACTATTCCAAATCTAAGGTCATGAATATTTTATTGCTTTTATTTCCTATATTTCCTTCTAAGAGTATTATAGTTTCAGCTTTAAATTTAGGTGTGTGACTCTTCCAAACTATTTTCGCAAGGTGTGTATTCCTTGCTGTGTGTCGTCACTGAAGTCTCTGCCCCATCATCTCTGTTATCAGCCAGTGACCTGAAAAATATTTCCTGAGGTGTCTGGCTCTAAAAAGGGAAAGAAAATAAGAAGAGGTCCTGTCTCTTCAGGTCTCCTGATAGGTGCTGCTGAGGGATGTTACATATGCTGAAAAGCCGAAACCAAGGTAAGCATCTGCACAGGTCTCTTTGGGCGCTGCCAGACCAACCTAAACACACAGCCCTACAATTTTGGAGGACAAAGTTCCACTGCCTGCCACTCCAGCATATGAAATGCTATTCCCATACTGAGGAATGAGAAATGTAGTTGGTTCTAGGGTGTCACTCCTCATGAAAGATCAGCAGCCTCTTCCTTTATTGAGCACTGTCTTGGTTGTGATAAGCGTCAGATCAGGTTCCAGAGTTCTAATACAGCTGATTCCAATGACTCTTTTCAGCTCTATGGCTGATTTGGTGGAAGGACCAACTCCTCCTCCATAGGAGACATTTTTACTTTGCCATTGTGTATCATCATTCCTCTCTGGTTTTTTATTATTTTATTTTATTTTATTTTTTAAAACTTATTTATTTTTGCTGTGTTGGGTCTTCGTTTCTGTGCGAGGGCTTTCTCTATTTGTGGCAAGCGGGGGCCGCTCTTCATCGCAGTGCGCGGGCCTCTCACTGTCGCGGCCTCTCTTGCTGCGGAGCGCAGGCTCCAGACGCGCATGCTCAGTAGTTGTGGCTCTCGGGCCTAGTTGCTCCGCGGCATGTGGGATCCTCCCAGACCAGGGCTCGAACCCGTGTACCCTGCATTAGCAGGCAGATTCTCAACCACTGCGCCACCAGGGAAGGCCCGCTCTCATTTTTTAAATTAAACATCTTATTTTGAGAAAATTGTTGATTCGCATGCAGTTGAAAGAAATAATGCAGGTAAATCCCATGTATTCTTGACCTACATCACCTTTTTGAAAACTTTCCCCTTGTACCTGTCATGCTAGGCTTTTTAAAAATCCCTAATCTCATTAGTTCTTGGTAGATACAAGCTCGTATCTACCTGTTGAAGCTCTGTGCTTGCCTCACATCCTAACTCAAGATCCAACTGTAAGAAAATACTGTCCATTCTCAGTATCCTTACATATATATTTTTTAACCTATCTACACTGGTGTTTTCCAACTTTGCAAAATTAATAACACTTTTATGTAAACCTCTCCTAATAAACCATGAATCCAGAGAGTGCCAACCATTTACTACTAGTGCAAATGTAGAATTTTGCAAATAGCAGGCTCTCAACACATATTGGATAAATTAAATTCATTACCAAATCATGATAACTGCACATGACTACTAGATATGCTGACAGTTCCTTTTAAACTGGAGTGCATTCACCTCCATGATAGAAGCCAAGTGCTTCTAACCTTTGTAAACACTGTGCATAACACTGGGCTATACAATAAACATTTATTAATCAATTTGGGGGCCTTAGAATATTCTTTAATTTAAATTAGTATTCTGATCAAAAGAAAAAACAGAAAGATTGAGGAAAAGGAAAGAAAGAAGGAATAACAAAAAATGAAGACTTCTAGGCCTATCTAGTAAGAAAATATCTAGCAATCTCAGGTATTTTTTGCAGCAAAGAAAGGGAATGTTAGAGCATATTCAGTTTTGAGAAAAGGCTCACAAAAAAACATAGGTATGTTGGAATTCATATGAACAGAAAAGTGATGGAGAGAGACTATGAAAATGACACACTTGTCCTCCTGTGCTGCTCCTTATCTGATGATCTGAGGTTGAGGGAACCAAGGACAACAAAGGAAATTAGGTCTTCCACAATTTTCATTAAATGCTCAAGGAGTCTGGCTACTGCTGAGCTGAGCATTTCAAGGGCTTTGGAAAAGGATAGTGTGGTTACTTATTGCACCACCTTCATTTTGCTGAAGGAAATAAGAAGTAGCTCTGAGGCTAATAATAATAGAAATGGCATCCGAAGCAGCAGAGCACAGTGGCACTTCCTAAAGGCAGTATAAATAATTCAGCATCTCTACAGGCAAACCACTAAGAATATAGGAAAAAGAGTTGCAAACTGCTGATGCCCTTTCAACTCAGTTCTGCCCGTATTCCTTAAAGGGAAAGGGAGTTGGGGTGCCAGTTATAAAGTCTTGGAGTTGGAAAGAACATTTGTTTGCTCATTGATTTATTCATTTATTCAGTCGTTACTGAGTACTTATCATCAGAGACCAGTCATTATGCGCCGGCTAGGAGCTTTGATATCATCTATTCCTACTTCTTCGTTCTTTGGATGAAGAACCATCCTAACTGTGAACCCAGACGTGAAGTGCTATGAACAATCTGACAAGCTGGTTTGTCCAAACCTAGAACTACAACCTAGTTTTCCAGTGCCCCAGTGAATATGTTTTTAATTAACTCCACTTTATTTTTTTCAAATGTGGCTTGTGAATTACTTTATGAAAGATTTTATTTTCTTGACCATATTAAGCACTAAAATAAATAAATAAATAAATAGACCTCTCCAAGGTGCTCCTTCTGAAAATGACTTCATGGCTGTTTTATCTATTTGAAACATTTAGTTTCTTTGGCCTTTATGTCCAACTCTGGATTCACCTCTTACCTGATGCCTGTCCCTTCTCTGTTACCTGTGCTTTATCTTCTCTAACTTTCTGACCTCTAGATTTCTTTCTCTAGGCTCAGCCCTCTGACCCTCTTTGGCATCTCTATACACACTCTAAATATATCCATCCAAGCAGCATCTTTAAAGAACATCAATATTCAGATGTTTCCTAAATTTATATATTTTAATTGTCAGGGTTATCTAGAGAAACAGGATCAATGGGGTATAGACAGATAGATAAAAGGAGTTATTATAAGGAATTGGCTCACAAAATTTTAGAGACCAAGAAGTTGCATGCTGTACTGTTTGCAAACTAGAGACCCAGGAAAGCCAGTGATGTGGTTCCAGTCCAAGTCCAAAGGTCTTTTAACTAGAGAGTTGATGGTGTAAGTTCTAGTCTGAGAGCAGAAGACCAAGACCAATGTCCAGATCAGGTAATCAGAAACAGAATTCTCCATTCTCCACCTGTTTTAAATGGTTCAGGCTCTCAGTGGATAAATGAATGTTGTTCACTCACATTGGGGAGGGTGATTTCCTTCAGTCAATCTACAGAGTCAAATGCTAATCTCATCTAGAAACACCCTCACAGACACACCTAAAAATATATTTAGTCAAATATCTTGGCATTCCTTGACCAGGTCAAGTTGACACTGTCCCTTCAGGGGAAATGGCCAAGATGGCAGAATAAGAAGACCCTGATCTCACCTCTCCCATAGGCATACCAAAATTACAACAGTTTACAGAGCAACTATCCATGAGAATGACCTGAAGACTAGCAGAAAAGATTTTCCAAAACTATAGATATAAAGTAGGAATCACAATGAGATGGCCCGGAGGGGCAGAGATGCAGCATAGTCAAGACAAATACTCCTGAGTGGTGATCTACAAAAGGGAGGATAATTAAAATTGCATAGGTTCTCCCCAAGAAGCGAGGGGTCCAAGCCCCACATTGGGCTCCCCAGCCTGGAGGGCCCTGCACTGGGAAGATGAGCTCCCAGAACACTTGGCTTTGAAGGCCAGTGCAGCTTACTTTCAGGAGAGCCAGAGGGCTGTAGGAAATAGAGACTCCACTCTTAAAGGGTGCACACAAAATCTCACACACTCCAAGACCCAGGGCAGAAAGAGTAATTTGAAAGGAGCCTTGGTCAGACCCACTTGCTGATCATGGAGAGCTGCCCAGAGGGGCAGGAGGCAACTGGGACTCACCCTGCAGATATAAACACTGGCAGAAGCCATTTTTAAGAGCTTGTTCTACCATGAGGACATTGGTGCTAGAAACCACCATCCCTTTAGCTTATTAGCACTGGGACCTGGCCCTACCCATCAGCCTGTTGGCATCTGTCACAGGATGCCCCAGGCCAAGCAGCTAACCAGACAGGGAAACAGCCCTACCCACCAGCAGGCTGGCTACCATAGCAAACTCTCAGAAAGAGAAATTAAGAAAGCAATCCCATTTACAATTGAGTCCCAAATAATTAAATACCTGGGAACCAACAAGTAAAAGACCCATACTCAGAAAAGTATGGGACATTGATGAAAGAAACTGAAGGTAACAGAAACAAATGAAAAGATGTTTTGTGCTCATTGACTGGAAAAATTAATATTGTTAAAGTGATCATACTACCCAAGGCAATCTACAGATTCAATGCAATCCCTATCAAAAGACTAATGGCATTTTTCACAGAGCTAGACCAAATAATTCTAAAATTTGTACAGAAACACAAAGCATCCCGAATGGCTGAAGACATCTTGAGAAAGAAGAACAAAGGTGGAGATATCATGCTCCCTGATTTCAAACTGTACTACAAAGCCACAGTAATCCAAACAGTATAGTGCTGGCACAAAAACAGAAACATAGATCAATGGCACAGAATAGAGAGCCCAGAAATGAACCCACACTTATATGAGTGATTAATCTACAAAAAATGGAGGCAAGGATATTCAAAGGGGAAAAGAGAGCTTCTTCATTAATGGTATTGGGAAAATTGGACAACTACATGCAAAAGAATCAATCTGGACCACTTTTTAACACCATATGCAAAAATAAACAAAAAATGGATTAAAGACTTAAATGTAAGACCTGAAACCATAAAACTTCTAGGAGAAAACAGAGGCAGTAATCTCTTTGACCTCAGTCTTAGCAATATTTTTTTGTATACGTCCTCTCAGGCAAGGGAAACTAAAGCAAAAATAAATGGGGCTATATCAAACTGAACATCTTTTGTAGAGTGGAGGAAACTATCAACAAAAAGAAAAAACTGCCTACTGAATGGGAGAAGTAATTTGCAAATGATAATTACTGATAAGGGGTTAGTATCGAAAGTATAGAAAGAACTCATACAACACGTCATCAAGAAAACCAAACAACCCAATTTAAAAATGGGCAGAGGACCGGAATAGATATTTTTTCAAAGAAGACATATAGGGAAACTCAACATCACTAATCATCAGGGAAATGCAAATCAAAATCACAATGAGATATCACTTCACACATGTCAGAATGGTTATTATCAAAAAGACAACAAACAATAAATGCTGGAGAGGGTGTGGAGAAAAGGGAATCCACATGCACTGTTGGTGGGAATGTAAATTGGTGCAGCCATTATGGAAAACAGTATTGAGATTCCTCAAATAATTAAAAATAGTACTACCGTATGATCCAGCAATTCTATTTTGGGTATTTATCTGAAGAAAATGAAAACACTACTTAGAAAATATATATGCACCCCTATGTTCATTGAAGCATTATTTACAATAGCCAAGATATAGAAGCAACCTAAGTGCCCATCAATAGATGAATGGATAAAAAGATATAGTGTATATATAACAAAATACTCATCTACACAAAAGAATGAAATCTTGCCATTTGTGAAAACATGGATGGACCTAGAGGGTATGCTGCAAAGTGAAATAAATTAGACAAAGAAAGATAAATACTGCATGATTTCAGTTATATGTGGAATCCATAAAACCAAATGACCAAATATAACATAACAGAAACAGAATCAGATGCAGAGAACAAACAGGTGGTTGCCAGACAGGAGGGTGTCAGGGGAGGAGAGATATAGGCGAGGGAGATTAAGTGGTACACACTTCTAGTCACAGAATAAATGTCATGCATATGCAATGTACAGTGTGGTGAACATAGTCAATAATTATGAAACATCTTTGTATGGTGACAGATGGTAACCAGACTTATTGTGATCATTTTGAAATTATAGAAATATCAAATCACTATGTTGTGTACCAGGAACTAACATAGTGTTGTAGGTCAGTTATAGTTCAAAACGAACAAACAAACTCACAGAAAAAGAGATCAAATTTGTGAATACCAGAGGCGGGGGTTGGGTGAGGTGGAGGAGGGATAATTGGATGAAACTAGTCCGAAGGTACAAACTTCCAGTTATAAGACAAACAAGTACTAGGGATGTAATGTACAACATGATAGATATACTTAAGACTGCTGTGTGTTATATATGAAAGTTGTTAAGAGGGTAAATCCTAAGTGTTCTCATCACAAGGAAAAAAATTTTTTTTCTATTTCTTTTATTTTGTATCTATATGAGATGACGGATGTTCACTAAACCTATTGCGGTAGTTATTTCATGATGTATGTAAGTCAAAGCTTTATACTGTGTACCTTAAACTTATACGATGCTGTATGTCAATTATATCTAAATAAAACTGGAGGAAAAAAAGAAAGCTGAAAACAAACTATCACATATACTCCTCTCTGACCTCTCCCTTTAATTTACACTGATATCAGATTATTTCTCTGATATTCCTACAGTGACGTCCAACTAGCATCATAACCTTAACATGTTTAAAATAAACTCTGTGCATGTCCCTGTCTGCATCCCCCATGCGTACAACTCATATCTGTTCCTCCTGTGACCCTCCCCCCATCTCAGGAAAACACTTGCTCAGGTAAAACACTTTTAGTAATTAACTACTCTCATCTCTTCATTCTCCACATTCAATCCATCATCAAATTTTCTTGGCTCTAACTTCAGAATATACGTGGAATCCAAACACCTCTCTCCATCTCTACCATTGCCACTCTGAAACCACCATCTTGTTTCATCTGAATTATTGCAGCAACCTCCCAAGTGGTTTTTCTGCATCTCCTTTTGCTTCACTCCAATCTACTCTCCACATAGCAGCCTAAATCACTCCTCTGCTCAAAATGCTCCAGTGGCTACCCACCACACTCAGACTAATAACCGAAGCCCTAACTGTGGATTAAGTGACCCGTCATTACCTGGACCCCTCTTTCAGGTCACATCTCTGTACCTTCTCCAACTGAGAATCCAATTGAGCAGTAGAGTTGACATAAAACGTTATGTTAGTTTCAGGTGCACAACATAGTGATTCAACATTTAAATACATTAAGAAATAAGCACCATGATAAGTCTAGTAACTGTGTCATCACACATAATTATTACAGTATCAAAACTATATTTCTTATGCTGCATAATACATCCTTGTGATTTATTTATTTCATAACTGGAAGTTTATACCCCTTAATCTTCTTCACTCATCTTGTCCAACCTCCTACCTTCCTCCCCTCTGACAAACACACAAACGTTCTCATATCTATGAGTCTGTTCTGTTTTGTTTGTTTTCTTTTGTTTTTAGATTCCACATATATTTGTCTTTCTCTGTTTGACTTATTTCACTTATATAATATATATAATAGTATATATATATATATTCCATTGTGTATACATATATCTATATATCTTTTTTAATCCATCTATGGATAAACACTTAAGTTACTTCCATATTGTGACTATGGTAAATAATGCAATGAATATAAAGGTGTGTATATTTATTTATTTATTTATTTATTTATTTATTTTTTCTAATCAGTGTTTTTTTTCCCCTTTGGCTAAATACCCAGAATTTCTGGATCACATGGTATTTCTATTTTCAATTTTTTGAGAAACCTCCATATTGTTTTCTATAGTGGCTTCACCAAGTTACATTTCCCTTATTTTAATATTATTATCAAAAATAAGAAAAAAAAAGGCAAGGATAAATGGATTACCACTTTTGGTAAATAGGTCCTGGAAATTTTCTGCCAAAGACATGAAATAGACATAGAGTTATACCTATTTGAAAGCATGATAACTAAATTATTATTATTATTATTTATAGGCAATGAGATGAGCGAACTCAAGTCATCTGAAAACTATTAGAACCAATGAAACATTCAAGGCAGTGGCTTTATGAAGAATAGAAATGCCCAAAGTTTTCCTACACTACAGCTACAACCAGATAGAAATTTCTATGAATAAAACCACATTCTCATAACACTAACATTGATTTAAAGGAATGCGTGGTAATATACTTAAAAAATATTCAGGACTTATATGCAGAAATTTTCAAAGGGGAAATATAGCTTGAGTAAATGCCATAAAAAAGCTATATCGTTGAAAGGAAAGACTCATTATTGACATAATAGCAGATCTTTCTTAGTTAGTATACTCATTGATGCGTTTTAGGTAATGAGTCTATAATTTCCCTATAATAAACTTGTATGCTTTTGTAAAGAGAAAAACA